AAATGAAATAGAAGAAACAGGTGAACAGATTCGTTTGAATCGTGATAAAATTAACGATAACAAAAATTATAAAATTACTATTGATGTGATGGTACCGAAAGTAGTTGAATTAAATAGTGAATATGCAACTAATTGTAAGAACTGTAATAAAACATGTCATTATCCATGTCATGTTCCATTTTTTATTTCAGCACTTACAATGAGAGGATGTTCTTGCATTGTTAATGGGCGTTGTACCGTATGTGGGTGTAGTTGTTCAGAACATGTAAATTCAACATATAGACATGATTTTATAACAGAAACAAAAGAACAAACAGTAGAAGAAATATTTGAAAGATATAATGAAGGTAAAAAAGGTATAGCTAGTGCAGAAAATGTGTTAAAAAGGTTAGAAGATGAATATTATGAAATCCAAATGGATTGTTATGAGAAACAAGAAAAAATTAAAGAGTGTGTTAATATATTGTCATCAATTACATTAAATGGTAATTCATTAAACGATAAAGTTAATAGTTCTAATGAATATTTAGACTTATTAATTAAAAAAGAAATAGAAGAAAAGAAACATGGATATACAAAACGAATAAAAGGATATGAAAAATTAAAACAAGCAAATGAAATAATAGACTATATTATAAAAAAATCACCTTCAAAAAAGAGTAAGGAAGAGATAAAAGCAGAGTTTGAAAGAAGAATGAAAGAATTAGAATAAAGAGAAAAATCAACATTAGGTAAATTCATTCAAAAAATGAGAAGTATGTTTTGATCTGATAAAAACAGATAATTAAATGAAAGTTTTAATTAATTGGTTTAAAAATTAATATTTAATTAAATAATAAAAATGATATATAATGTTCTTTATTTTCCAATCTGAAATTTGTTCATTTTTATTATTAATTAAATTCTCTATGTATATTTGAATATAATACAATAAATGAATCAAATGAATTATCATATTGTTAGATATAATATTTTAATATCAATATTAATGTTAATTTCAATTTTTAAATAATTTATTTATCTT